AGCAGAAGATGTCAGTAGCTATAAAAGGGATGGGGGAACTCTTCCATGTCTTCACAAGATGTTACTGTTGCGGATACTGGGAGAAAGGTAGATGAATATCTGATTATCTCAAAATATATACATGAGTAGCCCACAGTGAAAAAATTGAACAAGTAGAACTTTTTTATGACGTGTTAGATTATAAATAATAGGTGTTTTTTTGTTGTTGTTATTTTTTGAGACAGAGTCTCTCTCAGGCTAGAGTGCCATGGTGTCAGCCTAGGGTACAGCAACCTCAAACTCCTAGGTTCAAGTGATCTTCCTGTCTGAGCCTCTCAAGTATTTGGGATGACAGGTGCTCCTCACCACACCTGGCTGATTTTTCTATTTTTAGTAGAGACAGGGTCTCACTCTTGCTAAGGCTGGTCTTAAACTCCTGAGCTCAAGTGCTCTTCCCACTTAGGCCTCTCAGAGTCTTAAGAGTATAGGCACGAGCCCTCACACCACAGCAGTCTGTTGAATTTTTATATTGCTATTAATTTTATTATAGCAGAGTTTTTGATGCTTTCCAATTATTCTTTCTATTTGACACAGAGTCTCACTGTCATAGGTAGAAGGCCATGGCATCATCATAGTTCACAGCAACCTCAAACTCTTGGGCTTGAGCAATCAATCCTCTTGCCTCAGCCTCCCAAGTAGCTGGGACTACAGGCATTTACCGCTACACCTAGATAGTTTTTCTATTTTTAGTAGAGACAGGGTCTCACTCTTGTTGAAGCTGGTCTCAAACTCCTGAGCTCAAACAATCTGCCCACCTCGGCCTCTCAGAGTGCTAAGATTACAGACGTGAGCCACCATACCTGGCCCCGTTCCTCTTAAAGTTGTTTGGACCCTAGCTTTTCTTATAAAATGTAAGACTTTAAGAGACCTTCCCTGACCTAGCTCCTACCTCCCAGTTCAGCCTGTCTGTTTCCACTAACCCCAACCAGGTCCATTCCAGCCATGCCAAGCTCCCTCTTGTTTTTGAATACACTGTTTCTTTTCATGCTTTCAGGTTTGCATGTGCTTTTTCTTCTTCCCCAGAACACTCCCACATACATCTTCCTTTTCTAAATCCTATTTACCTTTTAAGATTGGTCAAATTAGATTTCCATAGAAACCTTCATTTGAACCTTCTCTCTGTGTCCGTTCTCAGTGTGGGGCTTAGTACACTGAATTCAAATTGTCGTTTGTTTTGTCTCCTTGCACCTTAACTGTGAGCCCCAACCCAACAGGGGCAAACGCTTACAATCTGTACACTTTAAGTGCCCAGTTCAATGCTGAAGTACATGTAGATGCTCAGCAATATTTATTGCATTTAATTGAATTTTAAGTAAAAATTAAAGTAAAATATTGAAGGACTAGAGTTAGAGTTGAAATATATATACTTTATTTTGTCACTTAATCATTCTAAGCTAATTTAAGACTCTTGAATATTTAAATATTAATAATTAGGGCTTTTTTCTTTTCAGTTTTTGGCTGGGGCTGGGTTTGAACCTGCCACCTCCAGCATATGTGGTCGGTGCCCTACTCCTTTGAGCCATAGGACCAGCCCTGGACTTATTTTTATTTAGAATGTATTGCCTTGGGCTCGGTGCCTGTGGCTCAAGTGGCTAAGGCGCCAGCCACATACACCTAAGGTGGCAGGTTCGAATCTAGCCGGGGCCCGCCAAACAACAATGACGGCTGCAACCAAAAAATGGCCAGGCGTTGTGGCGGACGCCTGTGGTCCCAGCTACTTGGGAGGCTGAGGCAGGAGACTTGCTTGAGCCCAGGAGTTGGAGGTTGCTGTGAGCTGTGATGTCAGAGCACTCTACCCAGGGGGATAGCTTGAGGCTCTGTCTCAATAAAAAGAAAAAAAAAAAAAAAGAATGTATTTCCTTTTTTTTTTTTAATATCTTCAGTTTCTTTCTCAAAACCCCTAAGATTTACAGTGGTTTCTTTTGAATAGTAATATTTCTAACATTACATTAAGTCTTGTTCTTAACTCATACTTGAACTTTCCTTCTAAGAAAATAATTTTCTTATTAAAATCTCTCCAAAAAAAAATAATAAAATCTCTCAATATCTTTTACTGTAGTCCTAAAACTGAATTATTACAGTAACATACAACTAAGTTTTTTTCCTTTTTTTTTTAATACTGTAGCTTTTTGAAAGATTGCCAAGTTATTTTGACCTTCAGAGGAAGCTGATGCTGCTGGAAGACCAAATAAGCTACCTTTTAGGTGGCATACAAGTTGTTTATATCGATGAATTACAGCCAGTATTGACCCTTGAAGAATATTACTCTCTTCTTGATGTGTTCTATAATAGGATATTGAAAAATAGAATACCTTTTCACCCTCAAAGTCTGCGTGGTTTACAAATGATCCTTAACAGGTAAATACCTAAAACAGAAGGACTACTTTTATTCCTATTCTTAAATGGGTTATGTGTCTAAGGGCATTAAATTGTTTTAAAGTTTAGTGTGTGGTTCTTAGAGTTAAAAAAGGCAATGTTGAGGCGGTGCCTGTGGCTCAAAGGAGTAGGGCGCTAGCCCCATATGCTGGAGGTGGCAGGTTCAAACCCAGCCCCGGCCAAAAACTGCAAAAAAAAAAGGCAATGTCACTTCTTAACGTTAGCAACCCTCTCTACACATTAGAAAAGCCAACATGAGAGGATTAAAGAATTGAATGTCTATAACATTCTTATCAGGCCTATGGAAAACCTTACAGAATTAAACCAATAATTAATCAGTAACCAATATTTTTTGTGTATATACTATTTGCCATTAAGCACCCACTATACTAGCTGCTTACACATATCCTCTCTTTAGCTCACAACTTCACCATGAAGTAGGTTCCTGCTGCCATTGTACAAAGAAGGAAGGTCTAAAAAAACAAAATGAAAAAAATATATAGAAGGCTTGGCACCTATAGCTCAGCGGCTAGGGCAGCAGCCATGTACACCAGAGCTGGCAGGTTCGAATCCAGCCCCGGCCTGCTAAACAACAATGATAACTACAACCAAAAAATAGGTGGGCACCTGCAGTCCCAGCTGCTTAGGAGACTGAGGCAAAAGAATGGCTTAAGCCCGAGAGTTGGAGGTTGCTGTGAGCTGTGATGCCAGG